GAATCTGGCCACACTAGAGACGGGCCAGCAAGAGCCCCTCAGGGCAGTCTGGGACGGTGAGACAGGGCTGGAGTCTCTGGGAACAGCTGCACTGGTGGGAAGCACAAGGCTTCTGAGCTCTCCCTGCAGATGTGGGTTTGAATCCCTGTTCCGGTATTTATTACCACGTGACCTTAGACAAGTTCCTAACTATGCTGGCTTCCACATCTATAAAAAGAGACTGAATGCAGCTAGCAGTCCTGAGCACGGAGGTGGGTTCCAGGCTCCGGAACACACCGGCACTGTGCTCCAGCAGGCCTGCGGAGCTCCTCGCTCTGGATTTGCAGCCACAGAATCGGAGGAGGCCGGAGGAACTTCGCGGACAGGCAGGCCATCACGTAACTCCATGCTCCACGCCGGAACATGCCTGCTGCTGGACAAAGCACGAGTCACCAAGTGAGGGAGCCCCAGCCCAGCCAGCATGAGACCACCACGGGTTGAAGGAAAGGGGCAGTTCTGGCGACAGCAGGGGGCTAATGCTCTAAACCTGAATCGATCAAGGGCTGATTTCCACCTCAGGGCCCAGCAGTCCCACTCTGCAGCCCCATAGCTGAGTTTGCCATCAGGGGCGGAAATGCTTCCTTCTCACTTCCAGACACTGCCGAGCTTGTAAAGCCAGATACTGTGCTGGGCACAGGTGTCTGGCTCAGTGGCAGCTCACTGGGAAGGAGGGAAGGAAGGCTCTGAGCAGGAAAGGAAATCTCTGCATTAGCAGCAGAAGGCTTCAAGACCAAGAGATTCTGCCAGTCGTGCCCATGAGGCTTCATTTGTTCCCACCTAGGGCCTGGACTATCTGGGTGACAACAGGATTGGAAAGAATTTGCACAGAACACCTGGATGGCACTTGGAGCACAGTGCTCCTGCAGTGACCTGGGGCTGCCCTCTTCTTATTGTGAGTTCAGGTTGGGTTTCGGGGAGAGCTGTGGCGTGAGGCCCTTTGGGAGTCCTACTGACTCGTTAGGATACAAACCTGACTCAGGCAGGTGCAGGGGCAGCTTGGAGGCTGGTGTGTGGGCTCAGTGCAGGAGCAGCAAGTCCTGGGTCAGCCAAGCCACAACCACCACAAGCTGGAGCAAGCCCCAGGGATGGGGGGCTGGGTTTCTGGAGGCAGGGAGAAGGCAGGGCTGCGGGTACAGTGGGCAGTCGGCTGAGAGCTGACCCCTGGGACAGAGTTCTGGGATTGCTGACACAGCCCTCAGCCCCCTTCACAGTCTACTTGCGAGCTGTCGAGGAGAGCTTCTGTGACTTGTATGCCTGGACGAAGCGGCTTCAGTCCTGACCGGTGCCCTGCACCCCGCTTCAGGGGGACAGGTGGCTTCTTCCATGCTGGGAGGCCCTGGCCTCATTTTTCTGGAAGACTGCACACCCTTGATGGCAGGAATGGTGCCTGAGTCTGCACGACCCAACTCCCCAAGGAGAGTGACTTGCCTCCCAAATGGTCAGCCTGGTCCCAGCCCAGGGAGGAGGGAGACCTTCCCTCCCTGAGGAGCTGGAGGCACAGTGGAGCATGGGAGAGGACTCTGGTGGGCCAGAAACCAGAGCAAGTAGCTTCTTGGGTGGTTTTTATTTTGTCAGGTCTGGGGCAGGGGTGGCCTTGGGTGGACAGGAGAGCCCAGAGATGGAAACACGTCAGGAGCATGCAGAGCTCAGCAAGGAGGCCGGCCTGAGGTGGGCATGCTTGCGTTAAGAGGCCAGGGGCCCCAGCCCTTCACAGGCTCCCCAGGAGAATCAGCAGCAGGAGGAGGGTGTGAGCAGCCAGCAGGGCTGCACAGAGCCAGGGCTCGTGAACGGGAGCCTGAGAGGTCATGCTGTCCAGGACTGAGGGCGCTTCCTGAGGAGGAGCCAAGGCAGGATCGGGTGGGGGGTTCTCCCTCTTCTTCTGGCTGATCCAGTTGGTGAAGTAGGAGAGCCTGGTGAAGACGCTGGGGCCGACAGGCGGGCGGCAGTCCATGCTCCAGCTGGACAGCCCCATCAGGAACCAGGTGCCATTTAACGGGCAGACAAGGGGACCCCCGGAATCTCCCTGAGGACAGAGAGGACATGGGTGGTGGAGACCAAGACAGGGAGGGACACGCATTGTTCGGGCATAGGAGGCCCTGTGCTTCTCCAGGATGGAGTGTGGGAAGGAAGCAAGGTGTGCGGCAGGTGTCGGCACTGTCTGAGTGAGGGGCGCTCATCTGTCACCTGAGCAATGTTAGAAGCCCAGACCCAGGAGGGACCTCTTGGATGAGAATCTCGAGGACGAGGCCCTGGAGTCCCACTCCACAGAGCTCCCAAGGAAACCCTGGGCAGAGCCTCCAGGCTGGCAGTCACAGACCCGCAAGAATAAGCAGGGGACTCCAGGCCTCGCCCTCCTGGCCCCGGTGGGGAGAAGGCACTGCCTGTGGTCCCGAGTGTGGCCGAGTGCCTTGGTGGGAATCCCCAGCCTAGCACTGCATCCCACCAGAATTTTTCTTCTTTTTCTTTTTTAACTTTTTAAAAAAATTGAAATGGAGATGGGGGTCTTGCCAAGTTACCAGCTGATCTTGAACTCCTGGTGTAAGTGATCCTCCCGCCTTGGCCTCCAAGGTGCTGGGATTCAGCCTAGTTCCTAATCCAGATGTCCTTGGCTTATTAAGGTCTCTAGTGTTCCCTCCATTTCTGGGTTGAGCTTTTTAGAAAATGCCAGGCTGTGGGATGTGCTGAGGGGAAAAGAGGTGCTGCCCGTGCCCAGCCTGAGGGTGGGGGAGTGCCAGGGGGTCCCAGGGGAGCACGGGGGATTGTGAGTGTGACAGGGCCCCCAAACAGGGAAGTCCCTGACATCATGGGTGGACCACCCCCATCCCTTAGGCCAAAAAAGGAATCCCAAGGAAATAAGCACCCTCCTGTCATCTGTGCAATCAATAAGACCGAGCCCCTTCTGCATGCAGGCAGCATTGAGGAGGCCCCGAGGGCCATTCCACATGAACAGACATTGCAGGCGTGTGGACTGGGACGGGCAGTGGCAGGGTGGCCTGGAAGAACTCCGGAAGGGCTGCTCTAATCCGAGAGCTTCTCTGAGCCAATGCTGGAGGAAGGAGCAAGGCCTGCCTGTGCCAGCCCACAGCCTCATCAGTGGGTAGGGAACCCATGGGACTTGGTGCAGATTCTGTCTGGTAGGATGGTTCCGGCCTGAGCCCCATCACGACACAACTGCAGAAGAAGGGATGGCAGAGGCTGGCGGGAAATGGTCAACAGACAGGACTTGCCATATCTGACCCTTTCTCTCTAAGGAAATGGAGCAAGGCAAGAGAAGCAGGGCCACGGTGCACAGTGGGCTCTTGGTGTCAGGAGGCTGAGGAGGCCCCTCCAAGGAGGGGAGCAGAGAGCAGGAGGGGCCGCCCTCAGTGTCTGATGGCAGATGCTGCACCAATGCCTGCCTGCACGGCTGTGGTGAGAACAGAGCCCAGGAAGCAAGAGAGGGCCCAGGCAGACACTCTGGGGTGAGCCCTGCTGGGACGGGAGGAGGTTGTGGGGAGCAGGGAGGGTGTCTGTAGGGCATTTGGTGATGGGAGTCATTGAAGAATGTTTCTGCACTGTGGGGTGACCAAGGAGAGAGAGAAAAAAAGAGGGAGGCGCAAGAGAGGGAGAGGAGGCCGGGCGCAGTGGCTCACGCCTGTAATCCCAGCACTTTAGGAGGCTGAGGCGGGCGGATCACTTGAAGTCAGGAGTTTGAGACCAGCCCGGCCAACATGCCCAAACCCTGTCTCTACTAAAAATATAAAAATTAGCCGGGTGTGGTGGCACATGCCTGTAGTCCCAGTTACTTGGGAAGCTGAGGCAGGAGAATCACTTGAACCCGGGAGGCGGAAGTTGCAGTGAGCTGAGAATTCTCAACTGCACTCTAGCCTGGGTGACATGGGCGACAGAGTGAGACCCTGCCTCAAAAAAAAAAAAAAAAAAAAAAAAAAAAAAAAAAGAGGGAGAGGATCCTGCAGGGGCCTCTGGGGCCTACAGCTCCCGAGGAGGGCAGGACCTCTCCAAGCTTGACTGTGGCTGTGACCCCTCACGATGGGCTGTGCGCTTCCTCTCTGGGCCTCAGCTCCCCCACCACGAAATGGAAAGATTACACATAGTGCGGGAAGACATCCACAACACATGAACATATCCAGTAATGGGTCACACCACAATAAAGAGCTCCTATCATTCAGAACGAAAGGCAGACAGTCCCATACTTGGCAAAAACCTTGCATGGACACTTTACAAAATAGGCAACAAACATATGACAAAGGGCTTATCTTCACTCGTCACCAGAGAAATGCACATTAAAAACCGCACACAATGGTTCATGTGAAAACGGCAGACAGTTTGAAGGACCGGCAGCACCAGGGCGCAACCTGAACTTCCACCCACCAGCTGCTGGGAGTGCAAACTGGTACAACCAGGCTGCAGAGTTTCCCAGAACATCGATGAGAGGCGAACATGGGCATATCTCATGGGAAGGCAATTCCACTGCCAGGGTGACCGCCAACCAGAGTGGGAACCTGTGAGCTCTAACATGCGCGCATGCATCAGGAGGTTCACAGCTATTCTATTTGCAACAGCCTCAAATGGAAACCACCCAAATGCAACACACAGTAGAATGGATAAGAAAAACTGCAGTGTCTTCGCACAGTGGAATAGCATATGACAGCAAGAATGAACAATATAGACTGCACGCCAGATGGATGCCTCACACAGACACAACAGACTGAGGGACCAGGCCAAAGCTTGCTGGCATACCATATGGTTTCACTCAGCTAAAACTCCCCACACAAAGCCATCATGCTTTAGAAAGCAGGCAGGGTTGTCCTGGGGGAGTTAGTGTCAGGAATGGGGCATGGATGGAACCCACCAGTGCCAGGCTCATGAGAGGTCAGTCTCTGGAAATCCCTCCACAGGACACTCAAGCCCTTTCCTGTGTATAGTGTGATTCAACAATGCTTTTTTTTTTTTTTTTTTGAGACAGAGTCTTGCTCTGTCACCCAGGCTGGAGTGATCTGGGCTAAGTGTAACCTCTGCCTCCCGGATTCAAGCGATTCTCCTGCCTCAGCCTCCTGAGTCGCTGGGACTACAGGCACACACCACCACACCCGCCTAATTTTTGTATTTTTAGTAGAGACGGGTTTCACCATGTTGGTTAGGCTGGTCTCAAACTCCTGACCTCAAGTGATCCACCTGCCTCGGCCTCCCAAAGTGCTGGGATTACAGGCATGAGCCACAGCACATGGCCAACAGCGTTTCTTGAAAGATGCAAAGAAAACGGATGGACCAGTGTGTTTTGGGGGTGTCTGTCCTGGATCCGACATTTCAGACTTGGCTGGGCTTGGGAAGAATTCAGGACGGGGGCAGGGTCCAGAGAAGACCCTGTGGCAGAGGCCCAGCGCAGCACAGGGCAGAAAGACTGAGCCCACTCACTTGGCAAATGGCCTTTCCTGTTATGAGGTCCCCAGCACACAGCATGTCCTCCTGGATGCTGTAGTCACTGCTGCTTGACTGGCTGGGGTGCTGGGGCTGGAAGAAGGATGCGCAGACACTGTTTTCCATGACGCCGACCTCTGCCTCCTGAAGCTGGAAGGGCGCAGGCAGCAAGACTGTGGGAGGAGGTGTCAGATGTGGGCCACAGCCACAGCCAGAGGGAAGCCCTCCCTCCCCAATCTGCTCGTCCAGAAGAAGAAGAGGAACTGGGAGGGAGGCCAGTGTGGCTGCAAGGGAGCAGGCGTGGGGTGACGGGTGAGGTGCAGTCACTGTGGGGCGCAGAGCAGGGGGCCTTCCGAGCTAGGATGTGGTATTGGAAGTGTTGTCCCAAGCACACTGGGACACAATAGAAGGGTCTTATGTGTCAAAAACAAGCCGTCTGGCTGCTATGAGGCAGTGCTGGAGGCAGGGAGGGGCAGCTGGAGTGCCAGCCTGGCTGGTGGCATACTAGCAGGTGCCGGGTGGGCTTGAGCAGTGTGACAAACCAGACACGGCCCTGCCTCCAGGAGCAACTGGCCTGGGGACACTTAGGCTCTGTTTCCAGATGTCACTCTCGGATCTGGCCTGGGGTCCCCATGTGGGAGCAGCCTGATGACAGCGCCCAGCCCTGCACAATGCCTGCCCTGTGTGGCCCGCATATGTCCTTGAGGGCTGCCGGTGTCTGGAGAGAGAAGGATAACTAGAAGCCACATCTTCCATCAAGGTCAGCGGCTCTCTGCTCAGTAACACATCCAACCGGTGACTTCCCCAGGTCCCAGCTCCTCCCTTCCCACCTGTCCGGCAGACTCTTCTCTGCCTTGATTCTCAGAGAATGACAGTCCCAGGAGGCTGTCTTTGGAGGGCCAGCTGCTCTCATGACTAGGGCCCTGTGACTGGCATTCAGTGGCCAAGGGCAGGGAGGCCATTTCTGGCCTGCTCATGCAAGAAAGTCCTGTCCCGAATGCCTCCTCTGAGTTATCTGCCAGCTCATGACCCCACAAATAATGCCAACTTGCCATTCTACTTTTTTGCACTCACCATTATATTTTCCTAAATCCAAAGCATTCAGTCTTTTGCAAGAGTCTTTGCCTAACATTTCTTCCCTCTCAGTCTACAAATATACACATATATGACAAATACAGGGGGTGAGCAGCAAGGTTTACATTCACAGAGGTAAGAGTTCTCAAGCCCAGACGACAGGCCTGCTCTTACTTGCTACTGATGCCCGGCACCTTCCACAGCCGGAAGCTCCAGTGGAGCTTAGTGAGGCCCTGAAGGGGCCAGACCGCAGCAGGCCCTTGGAGTCAGGGTAGAGTCAGCAGCATTCAGAACCAGGGAGTACTGAATGGCTCAAAGGGCCCAAGTGCCTGCCTCCAAAAGTGGGAGATGCTCAGGCCACTTGACCCAGGTCAGGGGGAATCGTGACACGCGGGAGGACTGGCAGAGCCCCGAAGCAGCCTCCCGCACCTTCCCCTGCATTGCCTGCCCCGCACTGCTCACCATCCTCGGTGAGCATTCCCCAGCCAGATACCCAGCAGGAGCTGGAAGGGGCCAATGCTGTGGTTGGTCCCGGAAGGCAGGCGGGGAGGATGTGGGAGCTGAATTCCACATGACGGTGCAGCTGCAGCAGGGTGATGTCACTCGCCATGCGGTGCAACTTGTTATAGTCAGCGTGCACCAGGATCTTATTCACTGTCATCTGCTGGCTGTGCTTCGTGGGATGGCTTAGTTGGTTGTACCCAAGCAGGATCCGGTAATCAGATGGGTTCCTGGACCTGTCGTCGGGAGGCTGCTCTGAGTGCTGGGCCAGCACCCTTACCCCGGCTGCCCGCCTGGCAGGCACCCAGACCCCACCATCATTCCTGGGGGTTCTCTCTCCTGCCTTCCTCCTATTAGATAGCCCTGCTCTTGACATGAGCTTGAGGGCCTACAGCCTCAGGACATTTGACCTTGGAAGATTCCTGATGGCTTTCCCAGCATGCCCCAGACTCAAAGAGGAGAGAATCTTAGTGCAGAAAACACTGGGGGTGCATTATACTTCACCCCTTCATTTCAGAAGAGAAGAGACTTGGCTCATTCCTAGCTCTGACCAGAACCCTCCCAAGGCCCCATGGCCTACAGCGACTCTCAAAGACCCTATTTCCCTAGCCAGCATGGTCCACCCCCTTCTCCCCAGACCTCAGATACCACCTTCTCCCAAGGACATGAACTGAGCAGGTATTTGCGGAGCACTGGGAGGAGTTCATGGAACTGAACTTCTTGTTTCCAGAAAACAAGTGACTTTCCAACCCACCGGTTCTGCCTGTGAGGCCCTCCTCCCTCCACACACCTGCATCCACCTCCCCCAAGGCCTTTTCTGCTCCGAGCCCCTGTCTGGCCAGGGTCCTTGGCTTGTGCCTCACTGTCCTGACCGGATGAGAAGCCTCAGGGCGGGGTGTGTATCTCTATGTCCCGCACAATGGCCTCACTTGAGGCCTGGCACCGGTGGGTGCTGAATACATGAGTGGGACCTGAGCAGGATGCTACAGCCAGCTATGTCCAAAGCTCTGGCTTCCTGGCTCAGAATTTCACATCCTCCCTCACTCCCTTTGGGCACACAGCGAGCCCAGGAAGCATCGGAGGAGGCACTTGTCTCCTGACCCTCTGCCTCTCACCTGCTGGACAGAGGCCATCTGTTTCATCCCTCACTCTGGTCTCTGGGGACAGTGGCACAAAGTTCTACAGAAGTGACAAAAAGCCCCTGGCGGCTGGACATGCAGAGTCACAGGACCCTTCTGGGGAAGAATGTGCCAGTATATGTGGGCAGCCAGGACCTAGAGGAGCCTCTGGCAGCTGTTCCCTGGACAGCCTGCTGGCTGGAAGGACCAGACGCCCCACCATGCGTGCCTGGCCCTGGGAAGCCCTGGGAGTGTCACTCTGTCTTATCACCTGAAGCGTGTGTCAAGTGTGTGGCCTGGGACACTGCATACCCACTACCATTTACACAAGAAAAATCGAGGCCCACTGAGATTAGGTGGATGGACTAGAGCCGGGCGAGACGCAGAAATCTAAGCTCATCCTGAGTGGAACCTTCGGATTTTGATTCCTAAAGTTTATAGCAGACGGGGAGTGGGCTGGAGGTGGTTCCCTTTAGAACTAAAGTCTGTTTTCCTTTATTTATTGATAATCCCAACTAGAGTGAATTGATTTTTATTTCGCTTTTTATTTTATTTTATTTTTGAGACAATGTCTGGCTCTGTGGCCCAGGCTGGAGTGCAGTGGCACAATCACAGCTCACTGCAGCCTTGACCTCCCTGGGCTCAGGTGATCCTCCTGCCTCAGCCTCCTCAGTAGCAGGGACCACAGACAGGCCCCAGCGTACCTGGCTAACTTTTGTATTTTCAGTAGAGATGGGGTTTTGCCATGTTGCCCAGGCTGGTCTTGAACTCTTGGGCTCAAGCAATCCACCTGCCTTGGCCTCCCAAAGTGCTGGGATTACAGATGTGAGCCACTGTGACAAGCCTCAACTATTTATTTATTACTTACTTATTTTTGGACTGGGTCACTCTGTCACCCAGGCTGGAGTGCAGTGGTGTGATCACAGCTCACTACAGCCTTGACCTCCCAGGCCCAAGTGATCCTCCTCCAGGAGAATCTTCTCTGCCTTGACTCTCAGAGAATGAAAGTCCCAGGAGGCTGCCTTTGGAGGGCCGGCTGCTCTCATGAATAGGGCCATGTGACTGGCATTCAGTGGCCAAGGGCAGGGAGGCCAGCTGTGGCCTGCTCATGCAAGAAAGTCCTGTCCCGAATGCCTCCTCTGAGACATCTGCCAGCTCATGACCCCACAAATAATGCCAACTTGCCATTCTACTTTTTTGCATCATCATTATATTTTCCTAAATCAAAATCATTCATTTTGCAAGTCTTTGCCTAACATTTCTTCCCTCTCAGTCTACAAATAGACAAATATATTACAAATATATGGGGTGAGCAGCGAGGTTCCCATTCAAAATTTATTCATTTATTTGTCCCACTCATTTATGGGACCTCATGTATTCAGCACCCACAGGTGTAAGGCCTCAAGTGAGGCCATTGTGTAGGACAGAGATGCACACCCCACCCTGAGGCTTTTCATATGGTCAGGAAAGTGAGGCACAAGCCAAGGACCATGGTAGACCCTGCCCCAGACAGGGGATGGGAGCAGGAAAGGCCCTGGGGGAGGCGGATGCAGGCATGTGGAGGAAGGAGGGCCCCACAGCTGGGACTACAGGCACACACCATCGGGCCTGGCTAGTTTTTGTACTTTTTGTAGAGATGAGGTGTCACTATGTTGCCCAGACTGGTCTGGAATTCCCGGACTAATACAATCCTCCCATCTTAGCCTCTCAAACTGCTAGGATTACAGGTGTGAGCCACCACACCCGGCTCCATTTAGCTATTTCAAAGTCATGTGCATATAACGAGACAACCAAGTCATCTTAGCAGGTTGACCAATGTGGGGTGGGGTGGGGTGGGCATCCCCATGTCCGGAGTGAGAGATGAGGTAGGAGCCTCTGCCTGGGAGATGCCACACAGCTGGTCAGGAGACTGGAGCCGAGTGACTAACAGGGACGGCATTCCAGGCACGGGTGCACTGCTGGGTCAAAGGCACGACACCTGGGAGCAGCAAACTGTCCCGGAACAAAGCCTATAAAGAAAAAGCTGTGCCCCCCACTTTGGACTTTCCTCCTGCATGCCCTCCCACAGCAGGGCCCGCGGAGGGAAGACGCACAGTTGGAAGCAGTGGGCAGCAGAGGCCACCCAGTTGCTGTCGATGAGGGCAGCTCCGCAGATGTGCCTGCCTCGGTAGAGTACACTGGCCTGCCATGGCCACCGCTCAGGCTCCGCCCTCTGGCCGCCAAAGATCTTCCCGGTGGGCCTCCCGGAGGAATTCCCGCTGAATCTGGTTTTCCCACACACTGTGGAGACACCCAGCCATGAGGTGCCTGCATGAAGGACGCCAGGCTCTGGTTCCCCTAAATGTCAGCATCCACAGGACCCGGGGCCACCAGGCCCCTCCTCTCACTTCACAGGAGGGACATGCCCAAGGCCCAGGGTGAAGCCACGTGGCACTTGTGACAGCCCCGCCTGATGACCCGGGAGCACACAGCCCAAGGCCCCTGTGAGGGGAGACGGCCCGTGGGGCTGGAAGGTGAGCACTGGCCCCGGCTCTTCCAGGCCTCCAGGCGGTGTGTGGTGGCGCAGACGCCGCTCCACTGGCGCGCGGCCCCTAAGCCGCTGTGCCCTCCCTCCCCCGCCCAGTGTTCTCCCACCAGCCGTCTGCAGTAGCATTTCCCCATCCTGGAAATGAGGGTGTGTGGGGCGCTGCCCGCCAGGCCCGCGGGGCGGTGCACTGCAGGGGCCTGAGAGCCAACCTGGAAGAGCCAGCGGGGAGCCCTCTCCCCTCCTTCCAAAGGCGCCTTCCTCCCGGGGCCCGAGAGCCAGACCTGGCGCTGCCGGGCCCTCCTGGCGGCGTCAGCGTGGGGCGGAGCGGGAGGGCCACCAAAGGCGGGCGCCCTTGCGCCCAGCTCACCTGCGGAGAGGGACAGGGCGGACTGGACGCGCAGCGGCAGGAGGATGGGCCACAGCAGGGCAGCGGCCAGCGCGCAGTATCCCCGCCGGCCCCGTCCTGAGCGCTGTGCCCTGGAGTCCTCCATCCGGCCGGTGGCCGCGGCGTCCCCGATCGGGCGGAGAGCGCGGCGCGTGGCCAACCGCGGGGCTCCAGGAAACCGCCTGTGTGTCTCGGGGTACTGGGACCGGATCCCGCCAGGGCCGGTTCGGGGAACCCAGGCCTGTAGGAGGCAGAGGTCACTGGGAACCCCCAGAAGGTCATAGGGCCCCTCCTTCCAGGAGCCCTACTGTGCTGGGGAGACGTGAAGGCAGCTATGGTCCAAGCCCAGATATATGCAGTAATGGTGAAGGACAAGTGCTCACATCATGTCATCATGCATTTCCAGCTTGCTTTCCGAGTTCAGCCCAGCCCTCCATAAGGACGCCAGCTCTTGGGATTCGGTCAGGGCCACCAGGGACAATATAATATCCTTTTCTTAAACTCTGGCATGACACCGTCATGAGAGGGCTGTGACATCGCAGTCACAGGTTCCTCCACACTCAACAGGAGGGCCACAGATAGCAGCTGGGTGGCAGGGAATCATCCTAGAATTCTGCCTATCACTGCCCAACCTCTGGCCTCCAGTGGCTCATGTCCCTCCCAAAACCCCAAAATGCATTCACCATACCTCAAAATTTCCAAGAGCCTCACCCTGTTGCTGGAAAGGGGTCCTAATTCAGACATCAATAGAGGGTTCTTAGATACTGCACAAGAAAGAATTTGGGGAGTCCATAAAGTGAAAGCAAGTTTATTAAGAAAGTAAAGGAATAAAAGAATGGATACTCCATAGGCAGAGCAGTCCTGAGTGCTGCTGGTTGCTTATTTTTATGGTTATTTCTTGATTATATGCTAAACAAGGGGTGGATTATTCATGAGTTTCCAGAGAAAGGGATGGACAATTACCAGAATGGAGGGTTCCTCCCCGCTTCTAGACCATATTGAGTAACTTCCTGACCTTGCCTGAAACTGTCGGCTCTGGTGGGAGTGTCTCTCAGCATGCTAATGCATTATAGTTAGCATATAATGAACAGTGAGGACAACCAGAGGTCACTCTTGTCACCATCTTGGTTTTGGTGGGTTTTGGCTGGCTTCTTTACCACAACCTGTTTTATCAACAAGGCCTTTAAGACTTGTATCTTTTGCCAACCTCCTGTCCCATCCTGTGACTTACAATACCTAACGTCCTGGGGGTTGGGCACAGTGACTCACGCCTGCAATCCCAGCACTTTGGGAGGCCAAGGCAGGTGGATCACCTGAGGTCAGGGGTTCGAGACCAGCCTGGCAAACATGGTGAACCCTCATCTCTACTAAAAATACAAAAATTAGCATGGCATGGTGGCAGGTGACTGTGGTCCCAGCCTCTCAGGAAGCTTAGGCAGAAGAATCAATTGAACCTGGGAGGTGGAGGTTGCAGTGAGCCGAGATCACACCACTGCACTCCAGTTTGGGTGACAGAGCAAGACTCTGTCTCAAAAAAAAAAAAAAAAAAAAAGCCTCACTGCAGCCCAGTAGGTCTCAACCTCATTTTACCCAGCCCCTACTCAAGATGCAGTTGCTCTGGTTTGAAAACCTCTGACAATCTCATTAGAGTCTCAACTTAAAATTCAAAGTCTCATCACCTAAATCTAAATAGAATTATCTCATCAGCTCAAAGTCCATAATCTCATCATTTAAATACTCCAAATAGAATATGGATGAGGTTCCCAGCTGTAATCTGCTAAATACACCCCTTGAGCACAATTCTTCCTCACCCGTGGACCTATGAAACTAAAGAAACTTCCTACCCCAACTCTCTGCACATACAATGGCAAATCAGGCATAGGATAACGCTCAAAAGGAGGTTGGGGGATGGACAATAAAAAGCAGTTGCTGGTCCCTAAGAGCTTTTATCTCCTTCTGGACAAACTCCATTAGGTTTCGAGGCCTGGGAAAAAATTCTCCGTGGCTCTCAGCTCTGGTCATCCTTCCTTTTTTATGCCAAGCAGCATGTTTGGATCTGAGTAGTTCTATTGCCTTGCTTCCTGCAGGTGGAATTCTGGGGGCCTTCTTTCACTACGTACTTTCTCTACCCCTGCCAGTAGGAGCTGGGAGTGTTCTGCTGACATAAACATCTCAAGAACCTAATGGTCCTTTTAAGTGTGTTTCACCACTTTCGCTTCATTAGATAAGAGATAGTCCCTCCTCCACCTGGGCCTCAAGACCTTCTACCTCAAGGTCTTGAAAGGGCCCTTCCAATTGACTGACTATTCTGATCTCTTGGTTTTTCTGGGGTCTTAGCAGAACATTATAGTCTCAACCTTTTCTCTGTGCCGTGGTTTCAGCGACCGTCTCTGACTTTAAGCATCTTTTGACATCTGGAGAGGCTAAGAATTTTTGAAACCCTCCAGTCCTGGTTCCTTTTGGTTTAGAAGTTCTCCCCTCAATTTCTCTCTCTTTCCTGACATTTTCTGTAAGTAGCAAGGAGAAACCAGGTAGCACCTCAAAGCTTTGCTTAGAAATGTCCTAAGCCACATGAAACTGCCTTTGCAAAATTATAACTGTAAGAGAAATCTGACATAGTTGACTCCATCTTGCTTCTGACCTCCAAGCTGTCCTTGGTCATTCCTGGGGCTAAGCCAAGCTAACTTTGAGAAGAATTTATAGTTTAATTTGAAAGCAAGGGTGATAATGGTCCCTTCCTAAAACTAATGCCTTCCTTCCTCAGGGACTGAAAACCACCTTTGGTAAGACTAATGAAAGGCCATAAGAATAGGATCATGGGAGGGGACTGAATTCTGGTAAGATAGGCATAGTGTCTATAATCCCTTACAGCTTTGTGATTCTCCAATTGCTCCTGTAGATAATGTTACTACTGTTGAACCTAAGATTGTTTTGCTTTTTTTCTTTAGCTTTTTTCAGACTGACCCCACCTGGACTTGTGACTCGTGATTCAAATGGCCCTGTGGTCCCACCCAGAGGTGAACTCAGTGCACTGGGACCATTTTCCACATCCTATAATTTCATCTGCAACCAATCAGCTACACTCCTTCCCTAATCCCCTGCCCATCAATTGTCCATAAAATCCCCTGGCTTCTGAGCCTTCAGGGAGACCCATTTGAGTGATAACTCCAGTTCTCCTGTGTGAGTTGGGCTTGGGTGAAAGAAAGTCTTTCCCTACTGCAATGCCACGGTCTCAGTAGATTGATTTTGTCTGTGCAGCAGGCAGGAAGCACCTGTCTGGCAATTACATGTATGTGCAAACAGGCCCCTGACAGTTTGCTCCCCACACAGCAGCTGGACACAGTTTCTGCTGACACCATCAGGACCTACCCCATTTCCAGGAGCATGCCCCCCACCTCCTGAGCTGTCAACCACGGAAGCTTTAAAGTCTAGATTTCTATGCATGGTCTATCCAAGGAAGCAGAGGGTTTCTCTAAGGTAGTTTAAGTTTTTTAAATGATGTTCCTCGAAATATTTCCAGGCCCCACCCACTGCCCAGTTCCAAAGCTGCTGGCATATTTTTAAATGTTTCTTATGGCAGCACCTCATTCCTGGGACCGAAACTCCTGTTAGTGTTCTGTGGCAGTGCAACACATTGCCACAAACCTAGTGGCTTAAAACAACGCAAATGTATCAGCACGCCATTCCCATAGGTGAGGAGTCTGGCGTGGCCCAACTTGGTTCTCTGCTGAAGGTTTCACGCTCAAGGTGCCCACTGGCCACAAGCTCTCTGAAGGCTCTGCAGAAGAATTTGCCTTCCAGCCCATTTAGGTTGTTGGCAAAATTCTGTTTCTTGCAGTTGAATGACCGAGGCTTTCATTTGCTTGTTGGGAGCCACTGTGACCTCTAGAGGCCGCTCGGCTACTTCCCACAGGCCGTCTCCCAATACCCAGCTTCCTCTTTCAGGGATGGCCCCAGGACCTCTTGCAGCAAATCCTCCTTAGGCTTTGAATCTCTGACTTCTCTGGGTCTATGACTTCCAGACCCAGATACAAAGGACTCCCATGATTTGATAAGACCTTTCAAGGACATCACCCTTCCTTAAACAATAATCTTCCTTTCTTAAAGTGCTATATAATTAACACGGTCATGAGACTGATAGCCAATTCACAGTCCCTCCCACCCTTGCAGGGATGAATTATGTAGGCTGTGGGTTGTTGAGGGTTATCTTAGAATTCTGCCTACCACAGTCTACTATGAGACAGATTCTGCTAATGCAGACACAAGAGTTTCACTCAAAAGGTCAACTTCTAGCAGAATATGCAGAAAAGTAAATTGATCATTTCTTTTCTTTTTGAGATGGAGTCTTGCTCTGTCAACCAGGCTTGGGTACAGTGGCTTGATCTCTGCTCACTGCACCTCAGCCTCCCAGACTCAAGCGATTCGTCTTCCTCAGCCTCCTGAGTAGTTGGGATTACAGACACATGCCACCACACCACGCCCATATGTATTTTTAGTAGAGACAGGGTTTCACCATGTTGGCCATGCTGATCTCGAACTCCTGACCTCAAGTGATCCATCTGCCTCCACCTCCCAAAGTGCTGGGATTACAGGCATGAGCCACCATGCCCAGCCCCCTCCCCATTTTTCTTTTTTTTTTTTTTTTGAGGCAAGAGTCTCACTCTTGTAGCCCAGGCTGGAGTGCAATGGTGCGATCTTGGCTCACTGCAACCTCTGCCTCCCAGGTCCAAGCTATTCTCCTGCCTCAGCCTCTCGAGTAGCTGGGATTACAGATGTCCCCCTCCACACCCAGCTAATTTTTGTATTTTTTGTAGAGACAGGGGTTTCACCACACTGGTCAGGTTCGTCTTGAACTCCTGACCTCAGGTGATCCGCCTACCTTGGCCTCCCAAAGTGCTGAGATTACGGGCATAAGCCACTGCACCTGGTCAGTTGATAATTTCAATGTACTGTGAAAAGAATCAAAGTCAACATAGGCACAAGAGTCTCAGGTTTACACATGGAGCAATGATGTGTTTCTAAGTCATCTACTTTTATCTACCCTTTAAAAAATACTTGATCTTTTTATACTCTCTGAACGAATTTTTTCTTTCCTTTTTTTTTTTTTTCTCCT